ATAAGAGGAGCGCACAAAGAGAAATTAGCCCCGTCCGACTGTCTGCTGAAAAAGTTTTCATCTTGCTCGCCCAAAAATAAAATGGGAAAACTTTTGCATTAATTAGATCAGACCGTTTCATTATAGTCCTTTTTGTTGGAAATAAGTACCGCATTTTTCGCTCCATAAGACGCACCTAGGTTTAGAGGAGGAAAACAAGAAAAAAAATATTCTGAACCAATGGACTGCAGACACAGTACAGGAGATGACCAGAGACTGCGAACACAGTACAGGAGGTGACCAGAGACTGCGGACATAGTACAGGAGATGACCAGAGACTGCGGACACAGTACAGGGGATGACCACAGACTGCGGACACAGTACAGGAGATGACCAGAGACTGCGGACATAGTATGGGAGATGACCAGAGACTGCTGACATACTACAGGAGATGACCAGAGACTGCAGACATAGTACAGGAGATGACCAGAGACTGCGGACACAGTACAGGAGATGACCAGAGACTGCGGACACAGTACAGGAGATGACCAGAGACTGCGGACACGGTACATGAGATGACCAGAGACTGCGGATATAGTACGGGAGATGACCAGAGACTGCGGACATAGTACGGGAGATGACCAGAGACTGCAGACAGTACAGGGGATGACCAGAGACTGCGGACACAGTACAGGAGATGACCAGAGACTGCGGATATAGTACGGGAGATGACCAGAGACTGCGGACATAGTACGGGAGATGACCAGAGACTGCAGACAGTACAGGGGATGACCAGAGACTGCGGACATAGTACGGGAGATGACCAGAGACTGCGGACATAGTACAAGAGATGACCAAAGACTGCGGATACGGTACAGGAGATGACGAGAGACTGCGGACATAGTACAGGAGATGACCAGAGACTGCGGACACAGTACAGGAGATGACCAGAGACTGCGGACATAGTACAGGAGATGACCAGAGACTGCGGACATAGTACAGGAGATGACCAGAGACTGCGGACATAGTATGGGAGATGACCAGAGACTGCGGACATAGTACAAGAGATGACCAAAGACTGCGGATACGGTACAGGAGATGACGAGAGACTGCGGACATAGTACAGGAGATGACCAGAGACTGCGGACACAGTACAGGAGATGACCAGAGACTGCGGACATAGTACAGGAGATGACCAGAGACTGCGGACACAGTACGGGAGATGACCAGAGACTGCGGATATAGTACGGGAGATGACCAGAGACTGCGGACATAGTACGGGAGATGACCAGAGACTGCAGACAGTACAGGGGATGACCAGAGACTGCGGACATAGTACGGGAGATGACCAGAGACTGCGGACATAGTACAAGAGATGACCAAAGACTGCGGATACGGTACAGGAGATGACGAGAGACTGCGGACATAGTACAGGAGATGACCAGAGACTGCGGGTATACTACAGGAGATGGCCAAAGACTGCGGACATAGTACAGGAGATGATCAGAGACTTGGGACATAGTACATGACACCAGAGACTGCGGACACAGTACAGGAAATTACCAGAGACTGCAGACATAGTACAGGAGATGACCAGAGACTGCAGACATAGTAAAAGAGATGACCAGAGACTGCAGACATAGTACAGAAGATGACCAAAGACTGCAGACATAGTACAGGAGATGACCAGAGACTGCAGACATAGTACTGGAGATGACCAGAGACTGCGGACACAGTACGGGAGATGACCAGAGACTGCAGACACAGTACAGGAGATGACCAGAGACTGCAGACACAGTACAGGAGATGGCCAGAGACTGCAGACACAGTACAGGAGATGGCCAGAGACTGCAGACACAGTACAGGAGATGACCAGAGACTGCAGACATAGTACGGGAGATGACCAAAGACTGCGGACACAGTACAGGAGATGACCAGAGACTGCGGATATAGTACGGGAGATGACCAGAGACTGCTGACATACTACAGGAGATGACCAGAGACTGTGGACATAGTACGGGAGATGACCAAAGACTGCGGACACAGTACAGGAGATGACCAGAGACTGCGGACATAGTACGGGAGATGACCAGAGACTGCGGACATACTACAGGAGATGACCAGAGACTGCAGACATAGTACAGAAGATGACCAAAGACTGCAGACATAGTACAGGGGATGACCAGAGACTGCAGACATAGTACTGGAGATGACCAGAGACTGCGGACACAGTACGGGAGATGACCAGAGACTGCAGACACAGTACAGGAGATGACCAGAGACTGCAGACACAGTACAGGAGATGGCCAGAGACTGCAGACACAGTACAGGAGATGACCAGAGACTGCAGACATAGTACGGGAGATGACCAAAGACTGCGGACACAGTACAGGAGATGACCAGAGACTGCGGATATAGTACGGGAGATGACCAGAGACTGCTGACATACTACAGGAGATGACCAGAGACTGTGGACATAGTACGGGAGATGACCAAAGACTGCGGACACAGTACAGGAGATGACCAGAGACTGCGGACATACTACAGGAGATGACCAGAGACTGCGGACATACTACAGGAGATGACCAGAGACTGCGGACATACTACAGGAGATGACCAGAGACTGCGACCTTTGGGGAGTGGAAGAGGGGGGAGCGGGTACCCGAAACTGACAGATACCCTTGTACCTGTCAATTTGATAACTCTTCCCAATAATCACGTGTAAGGAGCATTCTTCCCACTGACCATCACACCAATGTATCATAATTCATAGATTTAGTCATTTTTAGCAGGAGTTCACTGAGACCAGAAAGTTATTTAATGCGTTACTCTGTTTTGAAACGGATGACAAAGGCTGATCTAAGCCCTTCTGGCCACATTTAGAAAACCTCGAATCCAGCCATTCTTAACCAGGGTTCCGTGGAACCCTAGGGATCCTTCAAAGATTGCTAGGGGCTCCTTGAGCTGTGGCTGAACGACCTCTCATTTGATGGTGCCTGCATAGTTCCAGGGCCAATACCAATACCGGGGCATGACATCAATGATCCTTTTAGCTCATTTTTAAGGCTGCATTTCGAGCACTAAGGTACTTCCCACTTCCAACAGATGTAATAGACATTTTTCCTATTGATCCTCCATGAATTCCACAAGACTTTATTATTTATTAGTTATTTCAAGGGTTCCTCGGGGGTAAAAAAAAGTTGAGAATGGCTGCTCTAATCTACAGTATATGGATGGTGATTCAGAAGGCTCCGAGGGGGCGGTACTAGAACCAGCCACCTTGTCAGGCTGTAGAAGGCGATTGGCTGAGTTACTGGATGGGAAGTCAGGTAAGGGAAGGAAAATATCTCCCTGTCTTTGACACCTTTATTTGTTTCAATGCCATACTTCAAAACTATAGAAGTATTTCTATACTTTTGGTGAGTGTGGTAGTGCTGAAACATCTGTGGGCGGGAGCTTCCATAGGCTCCGAGGGGGAAGTACTAGAACCAAGGAACACAGTGCCTGCATTGCACATACTCAGTTGGTTTACATGTAACTTAGGACAGAGGTGATATTTAAAACTATGGCATTAAACAAAAGTTTGAAAAACAAATATAGATTAAAACTCCCACCTCTCCTTCCTACCCCACATCCAACTGCTATCTAGATCTTGCAGGCTCCACCTCCGCAACATCTCCAAGACACGCACATTCCTCACCCCAGACACCATCAAACAACTCGTACCCTCCCTCATCATCTCACGCCTGGACTATTGCAACTCCCTTCTCACCGGCCTACCCAAACGAACGCTATCCCCACTCCAGACCATCCTGAACTCAGAGGCTAGACTCATCCACCTCAGCAACAGCTCCACATCTGCCTCCCCCCTCTGCCAATCCCTTCATTGGCTCTCGATTGCCCAACGCATCAAATTCAAACTGCTAACTCTGACCTACAAAGCCATTCACAATGCCGCCCCAAACTACATAACTGACCTAATACCCAAATACTACCCTACCCGTGCCCTCCGCTCCTCACAGGACCTCCTCTCTAGCTCCCTGGTCTCCTCCTCCCACACCCGATTGCAGGACTTCTCCAGGACTTCCCCCATCCTCTGGAACACCCTACTCCAATCCATCAGACTGTCACCTACCCTCCTCACCTTCAGGCGCACCCTGAAAACCCTCCTCTTCAGGAAAGCCTACCCCAACCTCACCTAACACCCGACCTCACCTAACAACTAACCTCCTCCACTCCTCCCACCACTCCATCCCCCACAGCCATCTCCTCCTATATCACCTTCCCCTCCCTCCTAGATTGTAAGCTCAAAAGAGCAGGGCCCTCGAACCCCTCATGTATTGTATTGTTACTGTATTGTCTCATGTTCTGTCCCCCTTGCTACTGTACAGCGCTGAGTATACCCTTTAGCGCTATAAAAATACTGTATAAATAATAATAATTAAAAGAAGAGTCTGAGAGACTGCTAATCATCAATGTGGAATAGAGGAGATGGGTAGCCATTGAACATGAAAAGATACCCCGTGGCTGTGTTTTCTGAACTTTTTCTATTACTGCCATTGCAAGTTACATATCCTGAGACTGGACTGACTTCCTCCTGAATAAAGTGACGTTAAATAATATTCTCCAAAAATAATCAACACACTTAATGGTCCTGATCTATTTTCATGGAATTGTTTCTTACTGTGTTTTTGTGCCTCCTTTTGTTTCCGTTTGTTGTGTATTTTAGTTGAAGTTGTGCGCATGGCTCTATGCACTCTACAAATAGTCCATCTCGAGAGCAAGCAAGTGAGGGTGGCTCTGTTCCTATATACAGTGGGACCATGGAGAATAAACGTAGCCACCCTCCTACAGGAAGTCAGATCACAGCAGCATAAAAAAGGAATTTGGAGGAGGCCAAGAACAATAGAAGGGATTATTTTTTTTGAGTGAAGAATATATACTTGAGTAGATTTTTTTTTTCAACCAGAGTTGTGTGCCACTTTAAATTATCTGCTATCTGATGGCATGGAGTTGGTTACCTTAAGCTCTTCCAGGTCAGGTCGTTCCATGCTGACCACAGCTGCCAGAAGCTGGTCCTCCAGGCCATCACGGGTGACAGTGAAGTTGATGAGCGTGCACTGTGCCTGCATCTCTGGTTGGTAATGGGGATTGGCCAGCTTGGTGTGGAGGATGAGGCGGAAGTTGGGACTGTACTCGCACTCCTTATCCCCAATCTTGATGTACCTGAAACAAACCAAGAAGGAAAGGTTCCTCTCAGGACTACCAGAGGGGACAACCACAATCTCTACATTGTTCAGTACTGACCTACGAACCACCTCCAGGAACCTACCAACCTAAAAACTATGTTACTGTATGCGCCTACAGACACGAAGACTGAGGAAAGAAGCACTGATATCAATCTAGGCTATGGGAGGCAATTTGTTGGTCATGGGATTACAGGACAGTAAATCAGGTGAGGGTAGGAAAATATCTCCCCATACTTCTATACCATAGAAGTATCTTTATACTGTTAGTATGTGTGGTAGTGCAGGAGAACCAGTATATACCACAGAAATAAAAATTAGAGGTTCATTCATAGTGGTGTGTTGAGCTTGTGTGTAGGACCTTGGCTGCTCAACTCCTGGATTAGACTAGCCATGGTGCTGGTTCTTCAATGAAGGGACATTGGTGAATGTTGGGTGTATTTGTATAATGAGTTATTCAAGTTAGTAGTTTAGTTATAGACGTTCTTGGTATTAACATAAAAATGCAGCTGGGGACTGAGATAATTCCTTCTTTAAGGCTCTGGGTGGTGGTAAATGCTGTGAGCAGTGGTGTATTTAGGTTTTTGCTGCCATAGGCAACACAAAAATAGGAGGGTGGAGCCACCCTCCTGAAAAATGCCGCCCAAGGCAAATGCCTTGTATGCCTTGCTGTGAATAGGCCCCTGACTGTGAGCCATCTGTTTTTGTTCAGTTAAAAAAAAAAAGCAGACGAAAACTGCATCCCTTTAAATCCAATGTAGTTCTTCACAATGGTCCCTTGCACTTCAGTTGTGGTTAAAAAAAAATCCTGCTTTCAGTCAAGGCCTGGACTGAGCGAAGCTATAAGGGAGGGCCAGCATGACTGGGGCGTGCAGACGAGGCGGAGAATGTAATTTGGGTGGGAGTCTAAGCAAGAGAAAAGGGGGTGGGGGTGGTTACTTACTTGATTGGAGTACGCATCATTGTGGGGTGGTCTTGCAGGATTTGAAAAGGGGGGTTGGGTCTTGTCGGAGTCAGTCGGAGCTTGTGCCATCACAGAGGTGGTTTCTCCCCGCCCTCCCGCTCTGGAGTTGGTTTTTTGTATTCTGTTTGTTGTGTTGGTTATAGTTTTGTCCTTGTGTTTGTCCTGGTGTTGGTTCTGCTGTTTGGTTAGTTGTTCGTGGTGTTTGGTTTTATGTGGGTTCATTGTGTTTGTTCAGTGTTCAGGACAGCTGTTGTGTCCCGAAGTGTTTGTTTCGTTCTGTCATGGCAGCCGGCAGGGGTCGATGGGTCTTTGAAGGCGGTGTTGGAGTGACAAGATGGTGAATTATGGGTTGGGCCCATCGTAGGTATGGGTGTCCCTTCCCAATAAAAGGTCATGTTGGTAATGTGGTAGTTCATTGGCTGTATCTGGGCTAAGTAACGGTGGTATTGTCCCCGAGGCGGTGTAGTAGCGGCTGGGGGCCTTTCATTGGGTGTCAGATACAGCCGAGTTTGTGATGGGAGTAATGTTGCCTTCGAAGACCTTGGACCCGGTTTGTGATCTTACTGTCAGGTATCAATTAAGTTACTGTAAGAAATTTTATGTTTGAGTTATGGTAAATAAATGGCTGCTATGGCCGGTTTTACAGCAGAAAGAGAGTTGCGTGTTTATTTGGGTGGGGAAGGTTTTGAAGGGTGGTGGTGGTTTTATGGAGTAGGTAAGTATTAGCCTCGGGGATTCTGCAAGTCCAACAATCATGCATTTTTGGTGCATGTTTGGTCCGGTATAAAAACCACACCAAAAAACTCATCCCTCATTGAAATAAATGGAGATCATATTATTATTATACAGGATTTATGGCGCCAACAGTTTGCTCAGCGCTTTACAATATAACGGGAGACAATACAGCAACAATACAGTTCAATACAAGAGGGTTAGGAGAGCCCTGATCCTGGGAGCTTACAATCTAGGATATTAAAAAAGCATGAGAAATACATCGAAAACTCAACTCACCTGTGAGAAGTTGTCACGCACAGGTTCATAGAATCGCATGACAAGGGAAATCTCATCTCCTAGATTGTAAGCTCACAGGATCAGGGCGTTCTGTTTCCTCTTGTACCAAATTCTATTGTAACTGTAATGTCTACCTTCATTTTGTAAAGCTCTGCGCAAACTGTCGGAGCTATATAAATCCTGTATAATAATAATAATAATAATTTCATTCAATGGTGCCCTTCTAATCAACGCAGCAGAGTGCGATTTTGGAATAGCTTCCTAGTGAACTTCAGTGCAATTTCAGCCCCATAGACTGCTATTTTAACTCACAGAAGTCGCATCAGCATAGATGAGAAGCATTCCTATACGACTTTGAGGGATACAGGTCAGGGTTAAAGGAAAAAAAAAAAACACTAATCACTCAAAGTCACATAGGAATGCTTCTCATCTATGCTGATGCGACTTCTGTGAGATAACATAGAAGTCTATGGGGCTGAAATTGCACTGAAGCTGGAATATAATGTGATTTCCTTTTTCATGCAATTCTGTGAACCTGGGCTTGAGAACTTCTAAAGTCATACTGAAGCTGCATCACTAGTTGCACTGGAAATCGCAAGAAAACGGCATTAGAATAGTGGGAAGTGATATGGGGAAAACACAATGCAAACGTGGCAAAACGCAAGAAGCATTGAGTTAAATGTCAACGCGAGGTGGGAAAAATGTGGCAAAACCGCATATATGCATTTTTTATTGCATTTTTCATTTACAGAAAGTAGCCTTAAGATAACTAGAAATGGTGTCTGGGTTGTGTATGAACTGGAACACTGAAATGGCCAAGCCGCAATCAGGGGCGGACTGACAACTCATAGGGCCCCTGGGCAATAGGGGATCATGGGGCCCCTGTGTCCTTGCCCAAACTCAAAAAAGCCTATGAAAAAGGTACCAGGGGCATCCCATGGGGCCCCCTACTGACCCCAGGCCCTCGGGCAGTGCCCAAGTTTCCAAATGGTCATTCCGCCCCTGGCCGCATTCTCCAGTTATCACAAGGCCCACAGCATACAGTATGCCATCACCCAGTGCCCTGAGGAAGGAGGTACCCCAATCCCCCAAAATGAGCTGGATGTATTTTTTTTTTTCTAACACTGGAACCTTATTACTGCAACTACTGCATTGTAGGACTCTTGGGTGCTCCTCTTTAAACATACACATACTTGTACAGCACCAGCAAACCTTCCACAACATTAAACACAGTAAATCAGCCAAGAGAAATGTTCAAAATGCAGCCTCAAATGACCAATCAGCAATCATCTCTAACTGATTTGACAGCTTCAGACTAGTGAAAGCTAAAGACTGATTGCTTGCTTATGTACCTCGGTGGCCGCTGTGATTAGTATGGCATTCCTTTGCTGCCGGTGACATGGTTTTATGAAAAACCAGGCTGGATTCAGTTTTTTTATGGGAGAACACAGAGTGTATTCTGAATACCCGCACCTAACCAGTGGAGGCTGCAGGCTACCTTACCTTCAGAAGTTTGCATGGGCACGCACACATGGGCATACTTACAATTTCACCCCAAAACACATTCTTCTACACCTCCCCAGTATGGGGATACTACATGTGTAAGACTTTGTTTTCCTGCTTATATGCATAGAGGGGCCCAAAATCCAAAGAGCACCTTCAGGCTTTCCAGCGGCATAAATTCTGCATCAAATTTCTAGACTACCTATCACATTTTTTGAGGCCCTGAAGTGCCACATCATCTTTTTAGATCCATCTCTACATTTAAAGCTAAACACTCGTTATAAGCAAATACCGCCTAAATCAATTCATCATGTGTATTCTTCCTTGAATCTTGGTGAACTTTGTGTATTTCTTCCAGATCTGTGCAGGAATCCAGTGTGAAACTACCTGTAGTAAAGACCGCTCACTCCTGCTCTCTCTCCTTGTGCAGGGTAAAAGGTCTCGTCTGTGCCCCCTACTGTGGTTTTCTGCAGGCAGCCTGTAGTGGGTGTGGCCTGCTGGGCCCCTCTCACAGATCTACACTGCACAAGCTATGTATAACTTAGTGATGAGGTCACTGCTACTAGTACAAAGTAATACCTGGGTTTGCCCTCCAGAAGATTTACCCCCCTTCCTGACCAGGCCATTTTCTGCGATACAGCGCTGCAATACTTTAACTGACAATTGCGCGGTCAAGCAACGCTGTACATCAATGAAATGTATGTCATTTATTCCCACAAAAATAGAGCTCTTTTGGTGGTATTTTACCACCATTGCGGTTTTTTTTTTTTTGCGCTATAAACAAAAAATACCAACAATTTTGAAAAAAAAACAGCAATATTTTTTACTTTTTGCATATCCAATAAAAAAATTTAAAAAACTAGAATTTCGTCATAAAAAAATGTTTCTGCTACATGTCTTTGCTAAAAAAAATCTCAATAAGTGTAAATTAATTGGTTTACTGGAAAGTTATAGCGTCTACAAATGGCGGTCTATATACTGGAATTTTTAGTGTTTTTTATACTAGTAATGGTGGCGATCAGCAACTATTAGCGGGACTGCGGCGAGCAATCTGTCACTGGGTGGGAACTGACTAACTGCCACTGACATCTCCAGCGACACTAATACAGTGATCAGTGCTAATAAAAAGCACCGACACTGTACTAATGGCACTGGGCAGGAAGAGGTTAACATCTGGAGTGATCAAAGGGTTAACTGTGTGTTAGGAAGTGATTTTATTGTGTGCTGTGTTATGTTTTACTAAGCAGAATTGCTGCTTTCTATCTCTTTGCTGTGCAGAGAGATAGAAAGCAGCACATCCATGCACACAGGAGAGAGATCTGTGTTGTTCACACATATGTTCTCCCTCCTAAGCTTTGCTGCCAATCACCGGGTTCCGGCCAGCAATTTTCAGACATCTTCAGAAGCCAATAGCAGCGCGGGTAGGGTGGCGGAAATGCAAAATCACGTATATTTATGTGATTTTGCTCAGAGACGTTGCCCTGTAGCATTACATCTGCTATGAGGCGGTGGGTAAGCTGGTAAAGAGGAGCTTTACTTGGTTTTTTCAAGTCATCAGCTACAAATACTGGAAATAGATGCTTACAAGCCCATGGAGTCCATCACTGTCTTTCTTGGAGCCGCCATCTTGGATATCTTGGTTTCACAGCTAGCTTCTCACTGGCATAGCATAGCTAGTCCTACAGTCTCCTGGTTAGTGGTGTATTTAGGTTTCGTGCTGCCCTAGGCAACACAAAAATTGCCCCCCCCCCCCACAGAGAGACCCTGACACTGACCAACACCCCCATCCCCCACGAAGAGAGCCTGACACTGACCAACACCCCCATCCCCCACGAAGAAAGCCTGACACTGACCAACAACATCCCACCCGAGAGAGCCTTCCACTACCACCGCCCTCCATACACTGCCACCCCCCTCCCCGACCCTGCGGGAGAAAAGACACTCACCTTCACAGCTCCGGACATCCCCGGGAACAAGAGCCAGGCTCTGCAAACACCATCAAGCAGCCCTCAGCTTCTCTTAGATCCCACCTGCTCCCCATGCTGCGTGTGCCCCTTCTTCCATCCCTTCCTTCAGGGGGCAGCTCTGCCCCCCTGAAAGATGCCGCTGCCTCCTTGAAAAATGCCGCCCTAGGCAAAAGCCTTGTTTGCCTTATGATAAACACACGCCCTGCTCCCGGTATCTGAGGTGTCCCAGGAGGTTGTGAGCTCTGGAGGTGGGTGGCAAGTCTGAATGAACTGCATAAGTGGGTACCTGTCACAAAAAAGTACTCGCCCCCCAAAAGAGGGGGGACAAGGGGAGGAAGGGACGGGTAGTACTAGCATTTTTTTTTGTGAAGGTCCACCTTAGGCAATTCTCCGCATCCGGGTGATGGAACAATAAAATTTTACCAAATGGAATGGAATGGTCATGATGCCTATCCTTTATATATGTCTCTACGGGATACTTGGCTATTTAGGCGGAGTTTCCCTTTACTCCAGCCGCGCTGGTAAATTGACAGCGAGGATTAGTGGAGACGGGAACACCGCGCACATGAATCATCGAGGGTCATTCCTCATTCTCCTCATAATTATTATTCGTGGAGGTCAATTACACTCATCATCACATGCAGGAAATCCTGTTGACGTGCTGCTGGACGGGTGTCACTGCGTTAACAGCTTTTCCCCTTAATGAGAAACACTAAATGACTTGTGTGGCCGTTTTTTTTTTTTTTTACCCTTTCAATTAATCTGCTGCGCAGGATTCTTTCATCGCGTCGCGTCACCGGCTGCCGAGGTGTTGAAAACCCCAATTTAATATACGAAAGCTGAGAGCTCCGAACCGCACTGCGCCGCTGCACAGCCCGGCGAGCCAGGAACGTATCAGGATTCTGACATGTTGCCCGGTGGCATTTCATGAAAGATGCAACATAATGATCGTCACTTAGAGCCGGCGAGGGCAGATTAGCTGCCAGGTGCAAAAAAAGAAAATGCCAACCGCTGTATGAATATATTACGCACGCTTCGCTTTACATCAGAAATAACCTGATCACAAGCTGCTTTTACTGTCCGAAATCCTAAATTTTATTCGATATATGGCGAGGCCAACAGTTATTTTGGGACTTTGCTGGAATCTATGCTGCCATCCAAGAATTGGTAACTTCCGTTTGGGAGTCAAAAGGGTTAACTGGGCAGCACAGTGGCTAAGTGGTTAGCACTTCTGCCTGGCAGCACTAGAGTTGTCAGTTCAAATCCCAATGACGGCACCACCTGTATGGTGTTTGCATGTTCTCCCTGTGCCTGCGTGGGTTTCTTCTGGTTTCCTCCCACACTCCAAAACATGCTGGTAGGCTAATTGGTTCCTGACTAATTTGACCCTAGTATGTGTATGTAGGAATCTGAGTTAGAGGTTAGATTGTAAGCCCTTGAGGGTTAGGGACTGATGTGAATTCATACTATATATGTAGAAGCCATGTGTAAATTGGAAGGGCTTCGGCGTTATAAGTACCTATTCAGTTGTACAGCCCCAAATCGCTGCCCAAATCTTGTAGACTTCACCTCCGCAGCATCTCCAAGATACGCCCGTTTTTAACCACCGAAACCACTAAGCAACTTATTCCCTCCCTTGTTATTTCTCGCCTTGACTATTGTAACTCCCCTCCTCATTGGCCAACCTCATCGCAGGCTATCCCCTCTTCAGTCTATCATGAATGCTGCTGCCAGACTCATCCACCTTACTAACCGTTCTGTATCTGCCACCCCTCTCTGCCAATCCCTCCACTGACCTCCACTCAGTGTCCTCCACCTCTCTCTGCCAATCCCTCCACTGGCCTCCACTCAGTGTCCTCCACCCCTCTCTGCCAATCCCTCCACTGGCCTCCACTCAGTGTCCTCCACCCCTCTCTATTAATCCCTCCACTCCTCCATTCAATGTCCTCCACCCCTCTCTGCCAATCCCTCCACTGGCCTCCACTCAGTGTCCTCCACCCCTCTCTATTAATCCCTCCACTGCCTCCATTCAGTGTCCTCTATCCCTCTCTATCAATCCCTCCACTGGCCTCCATTCCGTGTCCTCCATCCCTCTCTGCCAATCCCTCCACTGGCTTCCCATTGCCCAACCAATAAAATTCAAAACATTAACATATAAAGCCATTTATAACTCCGCCCCCAATTACTTCACCAATCTTGTCTCCAAATATCACCTAAACCGTCCTCTCCCGCTCCTCCTGCTCTCTAGCTGCCTTGTCTCCTCCTCCCATGCTCATCTCCAGGACTTTTTCAGAGCCTCCCCCATCCTCTGGAACTCTCTACCCCAATCTATCCGACTATCACCTACTCTGCTCACTTTTAGGTGATCTCTGAAAACGTAACTCTCTCAGGGAAGCCTATCCCACCTTCAGCTAATAATGGAATCTTCTATTTCTCCCATCAGTCCATCCCCCACAGTTATTACCTTTTGTACCACCAGCCCCTCCCTCTTAGATTGTAAGCTCCCAGGATCAGGCCCTCCTATTCCTCTTGTATTGAACTGTATTGTTGCTGTATTGTCTCCCGTTATATTGTAAAGCGCTGAGCAAACTGTTGGCGCCATATAAATCCTGTATAATAATAATAATTAACCACTTGCCCTCCATAGGATTTGTTGTCTGTACCCCGGTTAGGGAGATTCAGCCTCTCTATTTGTCTTGTTTACCATTATCATTAAAAGTGAAAGTAAAAGAAAATCCCAAATTTTGGGTTGTCACCAGAAATGTAATAGAGGGGAAATTTTTCCCATGAGGACACTAGTTCTGCTGGGGGGGGGCCCCAAGAAATTGCCTTAATCTACATGGACTTCCTCTCACTTCCTGTTTTGGCTATGGGACAGAAAGTGAAGGGAATTCTCCCCAATGGGACAAAGAAGGCAAAAAATAAACTGTCAGGCGTTATAACCCTCCCTTACCCTATCCAAAAATGGAAAGAAAAAGTTTTGCCTATAGTTGTACTGAAACTGCGTCAGTGAAAATCTCAGGCGAGATCACTTTTGTTTAAATTGTAATAGACTTTCCAAGGGCTTGTTCACATGGGCAACTAGGGTAGTAAAAGCTGACGGGTGAGCTGCGGTTTTACCGCCATCCATCTAAACCTAAAAAAATATGCATCTGCTCTGGATGATGTCATATGGCACGGGTGCTCAACCTGTGGCCCTCCAGCTGTTGTGGAACTACAAGTCCCATGAGGCATTGCAGGGCTGGCACAGTTACAAACATGACTCCCAAATCCAGAGGCATGATGGGACTTGGAGATCCACAACAGCTGGAGGGCCACAGGTTGAGCACTCATGCCTTACAGCTACAGCAAAAATTAAACTTGGTGTCACATTAGGCAGCAGTACCACTGAATGCAACCCATGCAAGTGAATAGGGCTGCGCCGCAACCACTTTGCATCCACATGCAGTGGACCCAGTTGTGGCCTGTTGGGTGGGCATTTTGAGGGTCAAAACAGACAGCAACATATTATTTCTTCACCACCAGTCATATGCCCTTTGAAAAGTGAACTGCAGACCATAACTTATTAAACAACAGGCGTCTCAGACAAACAAGGCCTGGTTAGTCAGTACCCAATGGGTACTCCACATGCATACTGAGGACCACACCAGGGGCTACTGACTGACAACTCATGGGGCCCTCGGGCAATAGAGGATCATGGAGCCCCTGTGTCTTTGCCCAAAATTTTAAAAAAAAACCTATGAAAAAGGTACCAGGGGCATCTCATGGGGCCCCCTACTGACCCCGGGCCCTCGGGCAGTGCCCGAGTTTCCAAATGGTCAGTCCGCCCCTAGACCACACTAGGTCAGTCTACGGTTTTGAGCTGAGACACACACTATAGGTTCATTAGTGGTGCTGGTTTCAAGGCCCATTGATTACATGCCCACTATATAAGAGGCATACGTTTTATGTGTTCCTAATAAATAAAATGGCATTTACTGATAGACAGTGACCTGAGATAGCAATATTTCATTTGTCTATAGATATCAAAGGAGGAGATTTACTAAAACTGGAGCAGTCAAAATCTGCTGCAGCTGTGCAAGATTGCCAATCAGCTTCTAACTTCAGCTTGGTCAATTAAACATGCCAATAAAACCTGGAAGCTGATTGGTTCCTAAGTAGAGCTGCACCAGATTTTGAACTCTCCAGTTTTAGTAAATCTCCCCCAAAGAGTCTGTGAAAGAACGGCATCGGACAGCCTACAATGCTCAAGTGCAACCAAAGACCTCTCTTCGGAGGTTATCTGAATGGTCACCAGGTCAGCACCCATCTCTCAGACAGCTGGATGTGTTTGCAAATCTAGACTAGTTGTGTCCCAGAACCTTCTTGGTGGGGGCAGACTACGAAGGTGTAACATGAGAATCAATGATGATTTTTAGCAATGCTTTACCTTCCTTTCTTGATGGTTTCTCTTCCTAGTAAAGGTCCTAGGACAGGATCTACGCTCTCCTCCAAGTTCTCAATAAGGACCACATCTCCCCCGCCCAGGGCTCTCTCCAGTGTATCCAGGTACCTGGAAAAAGGAAATAAGGAAGAAAATAAGACCCAAGAAACTTCAGAGTCTGAGAATCACCAATCAACTTGCAATTCAAGGTGGTCCCAGAAAACCAAAATGCATAAATGAATGGAGGCCTAATGTTGTGGGCAGCACAGTAGCCTAGTGGTTAGCACTTACAGTTGCAAGAAAAAGTAAGTGAACCCCTTGGGATTACGTGGAGTTTTGCATGAATTGGGCATAAAATGTGCTCTGAGCGTCATCTAAGTCACAACAATAGAAGAACACAGTCTGCTGAACATAATACTACACACAAAATTAGATGTTGCCATGGTTTAATTGCACATGACATGTAAACATTCACAGTGCAGGGAGGAAAAAGTATGTGAGGCCCTAGCTTAATGACTTCTCCCAGAGCTAATTGGAGCCAGGAGTGAGCCAACCTTGACTCCAATCAGTGTGATGATATTGGATGTGTTGCTCACAGCTGTCCTGCCCTTAAAAAACACACACCTGTTTTGGGTTTACTGGTTTCAAGAAGCACTGTCTGATGTGAACCATGCCTCGCAGAAAAGAGCTCTCAGAAGACCTATGATCAAGAATTGTTGACTTGCATGAAGCTGGAAAGGGTTACAAAAGTATCTCCAAAAGCCTTGATGTTCATGTGCCCACGGTAAGACAGACTGTCTACAAATGGAGAAAGTTTAGCACTGTTGCTACTCTCCCTAGGCGTGGTCGTCCTGTACAAATGACTGCAAGAGAACAGCGCAGAATGCTGCATGAGATAAAGAAGAATCCCAGAGTGTCAGCTAAAGACCTACAGAAATCTCTGGCACATGCTAACATTTTTGTTGACACATCTACAATAAGGAAAACATTAAACAAGCATGGAGTACATGGGAGGACACCACGGAGGAAGCCATTGCTATCCAAAAAGAAGATTGCAGCACGTTTAAAAGTTGCAAAAGAGCACCTGGATGTTTCACAGCACTACTGGCAAAATATACTGTGGACAGATGAAACCAAGATTGAGTTGTTTGGGAAGAACACACAACACTATGTGTGGAGAAAAAAAGGCACAGCACACCAACATCAAAACCTCATCCCCACTGTGAAACATGGCGGAGGGAGCATCATGGTTTGGGGCTGCTTTGCTGCCTCAGGGCCTGGACAGATTGTTGTCATTGATGGGAAAATGAATTCCAGAGTTTATCAAGACATTTTGCAGCAAAACGTACGACCATCTGTCCGCCAACTGAAGCTCTGCAGAGGATGGGTGATGCAACAGGACAATGACCCAAAGCATACAAGTAATTCAACAAAACAATGGCTGCAACAGCACAGAATACGCCTTCTGGAGTGGCCCAGTCAGAGTCCTGACCTCAACCCCATTGAAATGCTGTGGCATGACCTTAAGAGAGCGATTCACACCAGACATCCCAAGAATATTGCTACACTGAAACAGTTTTGTGAAGAGGAGTGGTCCAAAATTACTCCAGATCATTGTGCAGGTCTGATCTGCAACTACAGGAAACGTTTGGTTGAGGTTATTGCTGCCAAAGGAGGGTCGACCAGTTATTAAGTCCAAAGGTTCACATACTTTTTCCTCCCTGCACTGTGAATGTTTATATGTTATGTGCAATTAAACCATGGCAACATCTAATGTTTGTGTAGTATTATGTTCAGCAGACTGTGTTCTTCTATTGTTGTGACTTAGATGACGTTCAGAGCACATTTTATGTCCAATTCATACAAAACTCCACGTAATCCCAAGGGGATCACATACTTTTTCTTGCAACTGTATGTCTTCCAGAACTGGGATCATTGATTTGAATCTCGGTCAACAGAAGTGTGGGGAGGTGCAGTGCAGTGGCAGAAAACACTCCAATTGCAAAGAACAGAACTTGAATTAATGTAGAATCCAACAATTCAGAACAAATCCAGCTGGAAGGTGCCCAACTGGGAACAATCACAAGTATAATACAAGACCTCACAAGACCTCCTTCTCTCTGGTTCCCTGGTCTCCTCCTTCCATGCCCGCCTCCAGGACTTCTCCAGGGTGTCACCCATCCTCTGGAACTCCCTGCCCCAACCCATCAGATTGTCACCCACTCTCCTCTCCTTTAGGCGCACCCTGAAAACCCACCTCTTCAGGGAAGCCTACCCCACCACCTGCTAACTTGCCGACCTCCTCCACTCTTCCTACCACTCCATCCCCCACAGCTATCTCCTCCTGTGCCACCATCCCTCCCTCCTAGATTGTAAGCTCGAAAGAACAGGGCCCTCAATCCCCTCATGTACAGCGCTGAGCGAACTATTGGCGCTTTATAAATACTGTATAATAATAATAATACAGCAGTGTGTAGCAGAGCAGGTCTCAGATGTGCCGACAATGTCTGTCTTGAGGGCCAGACTGCGGCCTGAAAGAGTAGTAGGTACGAGTAGGGAATGGAAGTGATCCTATCCTTTCTCTACTCATCTGGTTGACCTGTCCCTACACTACCCACATGTGAAATGTGTGCCAAGTATGGGAGTCAGGGTCTTAAATAAACACTGCCTGACCCAAGATGGCCACCAAAGTCACATGGAATGGCAGTATCCAACCAGATCGTTCCCCCTGTGACCCAGGAAACCATAGAAGAAACATGTTCCTCTTGACTTCCAGTGGTTCAGCACCACCTGCAGTGGAGAAATCAGACTGCACCTGTCTACATTCTCTCCGCATGGAATTTACATGTTCTCCCTGTGCTTGCATGGGTCTCCTCTGGGTACTCTGATTTCCTTCCACACTCCAAAGACAGGCTGGTAGATTAACTGGCACCTGCTGAAATTGGTCCTAGTATGTGTGTACAGATTGGCTATGCACCTATGTTATCAAATTCTGCATGCTAGTCTCTAGCCGACTAATTGGGTTGGGTTGAGGACCTATTTTGTACAAACAAATTGCCAAGAAAATTCTATGGACAAAACTTTCAATGGTATCAGACATGGAGCCAAGAGAGCTGAGAGTCGGATACACCTGAACAGATATATACATATTATGGCAAGTTATAACCTGTGTGTCAAACACCTACATATACCAATACCAACATACCAGCTTTGAACAACTTGAGGAAACCAAAAAAACACAACCCATAAGATTTTTATTATGTGTGAAGGAAGCCGACTACAAGAGCTTACAACCTAAACGTAAACTCTTAGCTATCTTCTACAGGTCTGATCACACTGCTTAGGGGAAGAAGCCATTCATATAAATGTAACCCAGAGAATTTTGAGGAGACCCAACAAAGTGTACTAATGGGAAGAAGTTGTCAAATATGACCAAAATGAACACTCTGAACTGGCCTTTCTATTTACTACACATGCGATCAGGGTGTGCCTGAATAATGGTGTGCTGTCATCCCCAGCCCCCTCTCACTTACCCTCGCTGCCCAATGCGGATTACTCGAAGATTTTCCCCATATTTATTCTTGATCCACTTGATGCCTTGTAGCTGTGGATCCACCATCAGAGGCCAGCGCTCGCAGTTGGTCAGGATAGTGGCATTCTCTGTAGACATGCGGTCAGCTGGAAGACCCTCATTTTGCCAGGTTGCTACATCTGCATCATCAGTCAGCATAGTTAGGGGGTCCAAAGATGGAGTTACTGGTATAGGGACCTGGAGAGGAAGTAAAGGGTAAGAGTTATATAGAAGGAGCAGCGTCCTCCAGCAGTGCAGAGTATTTCAGGAGAGGAGAGAGTTATAGAGGAAGGAGCGGAGTCCTCCAGCAGTGCAGAGTATTTCAGGAGAGAGTTATAGAGGAAGGTTATAGAGGAAGGAGCGGAGTACTCCAGCAGTGCAGAGTATTTCAGGGAGGAGAGTTATAGAGGAAGGAGCGGAGTCCTCCTGCAGTGCAGAGTATTTCAGGAGAGGAGAGTTATAGAGGAAGGAGCAGAGTCCTCCAGCAGCGCAGAGTATTTCAGGAGAGGAGAGATAAAGAGAAAGGAGCAGAGTCCTCCAGCAGAGCAGAGTATTTCAGGAGAGGAGTTATAGAGGAAGGAGCGGAGTCCTCCAGCAGAGCAGAGTATTTCAGGAGAGGAGAGTTATAGAGGAAGGAGCGGAGTCCTCCAGCAGAGCAGAGTATTTCAGGAGAGGAGAGTTATAGAGGAAGGAGCGGAGTCCTCCAGCAGAGCAGAGTATTTCAGGAGAGGAGAGTTATAGAGGAAGGAGCGGAGTCCTCCAGCAGCGCAGAGTATTTCAGGAGAGGAGTTATAGAGGAAGGAGCGGAGTCCTCCAGCAGCGCAGAGTATTTCAGGAGAGGAGAGTTATAGAGGAAGGAGCGGAGTCCTCCAGCAGCGCAGAGTATTTCAGGAGAGGAGAGTTATAGAGGAAGGAGCGGAGAGGAGAGTTATAGAGGAAGGAGCCCTCCAGCAGCGCAGAGTATTTCAGGAGAGGAGTTATAGAGGAAGGAGCAGAGTCCTCCAGCAGCGCAGAGTATTTCAGGAGAGGAGAGTTATAGAGGAAGGAGCGGAGTCCTCCAGCAGCGCAGAGTATTTCAGGAGAGGAGTTATAGAGGAAGGAGCGGAGTCCTCCAGCAGCGCAGAGTATTTCAGGAGAGGAGAGTTATAGAGGAAGGAGCGGAGTCCTCCAGCAGCGCAGAGTATTTCAGGAGAGGAGAGCTATAGAGGAAGGAGCGGAGCCCTCCGGCAGCGCAGAGTATGTATTTCAGAGGGAGAGCTATAGAGGAAGGAGCGGAGCCCTCCGGCAGCGCAGAGTATTTCAGGAGAGGAGAGTTACACAGAAAAGGGGCAGAGTATTTCAGGGTGGGAAGGTTCTGGTCTCTAAGGAGCAATCGGTCATCCAGCATGTAGCAGAATGTCTCTTCTATTAGGAAGGTGAAATTTCACTTTGCCTTTTTGCCTTATGATGATAACTAGAACAAGCTTTAGGTCTCACAGCCAGTTGATTAAAGAGTGAAATCGAGTTCACAGTACAAGTTCTCGGCTATATTTGATTAATTCACTCGCCTTGTTGCCCCCGGCAGAGAGCCTCTTGCAGATTTCTCCTCCTCTGCTCCATTTTTTTCCTCTCATGAATAATCAACCAATAACTCCGGCTCACAAGTCTCCGGTGATGTGGCGCACACACGCCTCTGTCCCAGCATGGCCCTCGCGGGGAACGCATTATCTGGGAACCCCGCTGCCTTCTACACTGTTATAAATACTGCCAGGACGGCAAATACGCCAGAAGCGGCCACACACGACTCTCTACAGAAGAACGCTGAATTTCCATCCTCAGCCTTTTGTTCAGACATTGCACAGGAGCAAGTCATTATAATGTGACATTTTGCAGATCTTTGCTGTAGAGAAGGTGGAGGTGGCAAAATACTATGGGCAGTGTATACATGAATACTGTCATAATGTACTCCGGCTGAATATTCTCTCACAGATACAGAGTCTTATCACACTCAGCTTGGCGTAACAGGGTACAGAAAATGCCTCACCGGTGATTTGTTACAAAAAACAAGCTGATGAGATTTTTAAATTTTACGGTAAAATGTATTTCCTGTTGTACCTTTAGGTCCACTGGAATTCAATGATTGTTGGGTTATGCTGCCGTCTATAGGAGGATTGGAAACCCCCGTGTCCCTCAATAAATGCTAATGAAAACATAATTCCAGCCAAAGATACATCTGTAGTGTTCATTGACCATCTGGTTGCAAAAATTTCAGTTCCTCCCTTACACATACACTAGATTGCCAAACGTATTGTCCCCGCCCTCCTAATCATGTGATTCAGGTGTTCCAATCCCCTCCATGGACACAGGTGTATACAATCAAGCCCCTAGGCATGCAGACGGCTTCTACAAACATTGGTGAAAGAATGGGTCGCTCTCAGGAGCTCAGTGACTCCAAGCGTGGTCCCGTGATAGGTGGTCACCTGTGCAATAAGTCCATCCGTGACATTTCCTGGCTACTAAATATTCAACGCTCAACTGTTAGTGGGATTATAACAAAGTGGAAGCAACTGGGAACAACAGCCACTCAGCCACCAAGTGGTAGGCCACGTCACATGACAGGGCGGAGTCAGCACATGCTGAAGTGCACAGTGCGCAGAAGTCACCAACTGTCTGCAGAGTCAATAGCTAAAGACCTCCAAACTTGGTGTGGCCTTCAGATGAGCCCAACAACAGTGCGTAGAGAGCTTCATGGAATGGGTTTCCATGGCCGAGCAGCTGCATCCAAGCCTTACATCACCAAGTGCAATGCAAAGCGTCGGATGCCGTGGTGTAAAGCTTGCCGCCACTGGACTCTAGAGCAGTGGAGACATGTTCTCTGGAGTAAACAATCACACTTCTCTGTCTGGCAACTTGATGGATGTGTCTGGGTTTGGCGGTTGCCAAGAAAACGGTATTTGCCTAATTGCATTGTGCCAAGTGTAAAGTTTGGTGGAGGGGGATTATGGTGTGGGGGTGTTTTTCAGGGGTTGGGCTTGGCCCCCTAGTTCCAGTGAAAGGAACTCTTAAAGCATCAGCATACCAAGACATTTTGGGCAATTTCATGCTCTCAATTTTGTGGGAAGAGTTTGGGGATGGCCCCTTCCTGTTCCAACATGACTCCGCACCAGTGCACAAAGCAAGGTCTATAAAGAAATTGTTGAGCGAGATTGGGGTTTGAGGTGAAAGAAATTGACTGGCCTGCACAGAGTCCTGACCTCAATCCGATAGAACACCTTTGGGATGAATTAGAGAGGAGACTGTGAGCCCGGCCTTCTAATCTGACATCAGTGCCTGACCTGACAAATGTGCTTCTGGAAGAATGGTCCAACCTTCCCATAGACACCCTCCTAAACCTTGTGGACGGCCTTCCCAGAAGAGTTGAAGCTGTTATAGCTGCAAAGGGCGGGGCCAACTCAATATTGAACCTTACGGACTAAGACTGGGGGGCCATTAAAGTTGATGTGCATGGAAAGGCAGGCGGCCCCAATACTTTTGGAAATATAGTGTACCACTGCTTATGTGACCTACAGACCCTGGAACTGGTCTTATCTTAGGGAAAAGACAGAAATCATGTGGGAAAATACAACCATCCAGCTGACTCTCTCCCCAGGAGGCCAGTTATTGTTTCTTGGGAATTCCATAGTGAGATCTCTGTACTCGTGTTTCCCAGCTGGTTCACCAGTGACCTTCGTACAAGAAGCCCACTATGCATGTAGATGGAACAAAGCCGAGAATTATGGCCAACAGATCTCATATTTGGAGTTCCCATGTGTTATAAGCCGCCACAAAGTGACTGCTCTATAGCTACAGAGGAAAGTTTGTGGATAGACACATGTGCGATTCGGTTTGAATTGAAATTCAGACATAATTGTTGTTATTCGGAAAATCAGATGTATCCAAATTTCAGAAATCAGAATAATAACAAATTTCAATGAATCCAAAATATATTATAACAAAACTAATTACCTGAATTTGAAAATGAATTCAAATTTGAAAGGGAAATATATTGCCATAAATACAGTAAGATATAAAAGTGAAATAAGATGATAAGTCATACTTTACTGTGCAGAACAGAATTAAAACAGAATAGAATAGAGAATATAAAAGAAGATAAAGAAATAAAACAGAATAGAAAGAAATAGAACAGATTAGAACGGAATAGAAAATAGAAAAAACAGAATAGAATACAAAATAAAAAAAGATTAGAAAAAAATAGAATACAATACAATTAAAGAAAAAAAAATAGAATAGGAAAACAGAAAAGAATAAAAATAGAACAAATATAGCTATCTTCCAAAATCCAATTTCCAATCAATTTGAAAATAACAAATATACTAAACTAATTTCTAAAGCTAATCATTCCAACGTAACAAATTTGATGAAGCAAAATTATTAACGTAACGAACAAATCCAAAACGAAACAAATTTTTCCGTCGTACATATCTCTATTTGTGGATACCTATCCATCATACCTATATGAGCTAACTAGACATCCCATTCCATTTTCATGGACATTAAGATGAAATTGGCCCTGTAACGTCCCCCACTGCTCTGGGAAGGCACGCCACAAGATTTTGGAGGGTGTGTGTGGGAATTTGTCCCGGTCTGTGAGCTCAGATAACAATGGTGGAAAGACCTGGCTACAAATAAGCAAACCAATTCATTCAGAAGACGTTCAGTAGGGTTGAGGTCAGGGCTCTGTGCAAGCTACTCAAGTTCCTCCACACCACACTGGTGAATCTATGTCTTTATGGAGCTGGCTTTGTACATAGGAGCTCAGTGATGCTGGAAATGAAAAGGGCCTTCACCAAACTGCTACCACAAAATTGGAGGAACACACTTGTCTTAAAGGGTATTTGTATGATAAACTACAACTTCAACATCGACTTAACTTCAATGGAACACCTAGACTTTAGTTGAAGGAGAGCCCCTATACTTTTGGCCATATTGTCTTAAAATATTACTTTAGGTAGAATAAACCTTTATATAGGGCTGTTTTTCTCTATAGAAAAATGCTTATAGAGCACCTAGACCAGTGGTGGTGAACCTATGGCACGCCTGCCACAGTGGGCACACAGAGCCCTCTCTACCGACGCACAAGCCAAGTCGCCCCAGCAGCCAAGCATTGGATAACAACGCACATAGGGGCCAACACGCATGCTCAGAAAGGAGTAGCAGAACCAGGCGATGATGTCAAAAGTTGTGGCTCATTAGCATGACCGGTCAGTGGGTATAGGATGTAAATATTGGACTGGCTGTGAGTTTTAATACATTTGTTTTTATAAAAATCAGATTTTAGCTTGTGCTGGTGGTCACTGGAACCTTGCCCCCTTGTGCTGGTGGTCAGTGGAACTGTGCCCCCTTGTGCTGGTGGTCAGTGGAACTGTGCCCCCTTGTGCTGGTGGTCAGTGGAACTGTGCCCCCTTTTACTGGTGGTCAGTCGAACTTTGCCCCCTTGTGCTGGTGGTCAGTGGAACTTTGCCCCCTTGTGCTGGTGGTCAGTGGAACTTTGCCCCCTTGTGCTGGTGGTCAGTCGAACTTTGCCCCCTTGTGCTGGTGGTCAGTCGAACTTTGCCCCCTTGTGCTGGTGGTCAGTCGAACTTTGCCCCTTGTGCTGGTGGTCAGTGGAACTTTGCCCCCTTGTGCTGGTGGTCAGTGGAACTTTGCCCCCTTGTGCTGGTGGTCAGTGGAACTTTGCCCCCTTGTGCTGGTGGTCAGTGGAACTTTGCCCCCTTGTGCTGGTGGTCAGTGGAACTTTGCCCCCTTGTGCTGGTGGTCAGTGGAACTGTGCCCCCCTGTGCTGGTGGTCAATGGAACTGTGCCCCCTTGTGCTGGTGGTCAGTCAAACTTTGTCCCCTTGTGCTGGTGGTCAGTGGCACTTTGCCAACCTTTGCTGGTGGTCAGTGAAACTTTGCCCCCTTGTGCTGGTGGTCAGTGGAACTTTGTCCCCTTGTGCTGATGGGTCAGTGGCACTTTACCCCCTGGTCGGTGGTGGTCAGTGGAAGCTCTTTTATTGCATTTTTCTTTAAGACAAAAGATGTTAATGTATGAGTTTCTAAACCAAAACCTCAGCATTCAGGTTTAATTGCAGTGTTGGCACTTTGTGATAAATAAGTGGGTTTTGGGTTGCAGTTTGGGCACTTGGTCTCTAAAAGGTTCACCATCACTGGCCTAGACTGATGCCCTCTGTGCTAATTCAGGTGTCCTCAGTCTGAACTAAACGGAGACCACCTACAGCCAAAAACGTATTTCAGAAGAAATGTCAGCTGTTCGCTCTTTTGGGTTAAGTACTGAATCTAAAGCACGACATCTTCTCCATGCTTCACTGTGGCTGTAAATCTGTTACTTACTTTCAGCTGTCCCAGGTAGGGTTTCCAGGTTTTATCCATGAGGTCCTGTCTGTACTTTTTGGTAAAGTAGCCAAGGTAAGACACAAAAGCGGTGATGAGCAGGACGTCTCCACACAACGTGCTTTCCTGGAGTTTGAAATTCCTCACGGCTTCGGCCCATCGGACATTTTCTGATGCAAGGCCTCCGACCTAGATGGGAGAAATGGCAGAAATGTCTAAACATCACACCATCTCATAAAATTCTGGTAACCGCACCATGGCCAGCAGATTTCAGATGTTGGTCAAGTGTTCTACCACATTCAGCCTACCTGAAAGAAGTGAATGCTCTTATCTTTAGGGCTAAGGGGAGATTCTTCTACCTCCATACACCACGGCCGGGGCCATTGTTATGAAGGCACACAGGGTGATGATGATGATATTTACCCATGCCCACTTTGACACAGTTGGCCATATTAAATATGTATTGCAATGTTCTGTACATGAATACTTACGTGTGGCCCCCTAGGGATTTTGGCTGCCACAGCAGAGGCCACCCATAGCTAGTAAATTGACCATAACTGTTTCAAAGGATTTTATCACTTCAGAAGGAAGGAGAATCACAATAGTGAGATAGCAAAGGAGTAGATGGCTCAGTTTTCAAACTCGATCATGGCATGTATCTTTGATTCTGCGTTATGTGGGAGGGGCTTAACATAAATACACTCCATAGACTTCCCAGCATGCACCGCTTCCTGAGAATGCAAAGTTTGCCTATAGCTTTCCTTTAAAGCTGAACTCCAGGATAAGTGTAGCACCTTCCTAGATAGATACTAGCTTTAGATACAGAGATTTAGTATGCGTCTTGATAGGCACAGGGCTTTTTTTCTAAAAAAATAGGTACAGGAACTCCCCCCTTCTGAGTCAATTATTGTCTCCGCCCCCCTACTCACCTCCCAGTACTGTTCCTTTAGAGAATACAGAGCCAAATATCATTTTTGGTGATAAATAATTTGTATACAATGTGTTAATAACAAGAAAAGCAGAAAAAGATATCCCCCACAGTCAGCAACAATAGACCCCCCCCAGCAACAATAGATTCTTCCTGCAACAATGGACACCCCCCCAAAAAAATACTACCCAGGCAACAATAGACCCCAGCAGCTACAACAGATCACCCAGCAGCCAGCATCAATATACTCTCTAGCAGCCAGCAACAATAGACCACTACTTCAACAGTAGATCCCTTCCAGCAACAATTGATCTCAATCAATACTAAATCCCCCACCAGCAACAGTAGACCACCACACAAAAATAGATCCCCTTTATTGGCAATAGATCCTCCAGCAGCCAGCAACAATAGATCCTCTGGAACAGCCTAGCACCCCTTGCCATTACATACATTCTGCGTTCCCCCCCCACGTTCCCGCTGAAAAAAAGCTCTGGATAGGTACATTTAGTTGCCACATTGTAGTCTGTGTGACTGTGATTGCTAGGCCAAAGTATAGTTTGCTCACTGCACTCAGTGAAGTTGCATTCTGCTAGTCAGGTCTGCTCACAGTGTTCAGCTTCTGCTGGTCTGATAGCTTCCTCTGCATCCGGAGAGCTTGAGAAGTTTCTGGATGATAGGTGTGGAGCTATGCAGATGGCAGCATGAATATTGATACAGCCCTGGCCTATCCCAGAGAGGCAGGCTCTAATGGCATGCTGGGAGACTGTATATATTCAGTGAGCACACAGAGCTCAGGGTCTTTTCGTGTTGAGGACCTGTCCAGCCTGAAGGGGGCTTGCTGCTCCTTCATGGTATTGCTGCCATACATCTGCTATTGCGAGACCTCAGGTGGGCAACCTGAGGGCCTGAATGCTGAGACCCGGGTACTGCTAAGAGCTGACTGAGGGGCCATCTACTGAAGATCTGGTTTGGCATCACGGAAGAAGGCAACCAGCTATCCCTGGGCCTTGGGAGAAAAGATACTTCTCAAGGACCTTCTAAAAGACTTTTGTGTTTGCCAAAACCCCTCTGGTGCTAGGGAGTCAGCGGCAGGTCTAGTTAAAGGGGACACTGGCTGGTGTTCTAAGGAGCATAGTCCATCTAATCATCTACTAAGTAGGGACTCAGCTGTTGTGACACAAATTAAGGAGTTTGCACTCAAGTATTACTACTAAAGCTTTTCCAGGGAGAATACTAGTCCTCAGATTGTATATAACTCTTGCTTTGGAGTACCCCACTCAACTCCCTCAACCCTACCCAAGTTCTCCAAAAACAAAAAACAACACCCTTAGACTGGTCATTGGAGAAATGTGTGGATGAGCCTGTGTGCCTGGCTGTGTTGAGAAAATTGTGGGGAAACCTGGACAGTATCACTGTGATTCCTAAGGGAGTTGCGCTACATAAGCAAATATTGTCTAAATCCATTCCTCACGTCTATTCTTCCTTCGATCTTGGTGTGCTTTGTGTATTTCTTCCAGATCTGTGCAGCCATCCAGTGTGAGACTTCCTGTAATAAAGACCACTCACTGATGCTCTCTCTCTTTGTGCAGGGTGACTGGTCTTGACTCCACCCCCTCCTGTAGATTTCTGCAGGCAGCTTGTAGTGGGTGGAGCCTGCTGAGCCCCTCCCACAGCTCTCTGCTCTCTCCTTGTGCAGGATGACTGGTCATGTCTCCACCCCCCCCCCCCCCCGTAGTTTTCTGCTGTAGTGGATGGAGCCTGCTGGGCCCCTTCCATTGCTCTTCTCTCTCCTTGTGCAGGATGACTGGTCATGTCTCCACCCCCCTCCTGTAGTTTTCTGCAGGCAGCCTGTAGTGGGTGGAGCCTGCTGGGCCCCTCCCACCGCTCTGCTCTCTCTCCTTGTGCAGGATGACTGGTCATGTCTCCACCCCCCTCCTGTAGTTTTCTGCAGGCAGCCTGTAGTGGGTGGAGCCTGCTGGGCCCCTCCCACCGCTCTGCTCTCTCTCCTTGTGCAGGATGACTGGTCATGTCTCCACCCCCCCTCCTGTAGTTTTCTGCAGGCAGCCTGTAGTGGGTGGAGCCTGCTGGGCCCCTCCCACCGCTCTGCTCTCTCTCCTTGTGCAGGATGACTGGTCATGTCTCCACCCCCCTCCTGTAGTTTTCTGCAGGCAGCCTGTAGTGGGTGGAGCCTGCTGGGCCCCTCCCACCGCTCTGCTCTCTCTCCTTGTGCAGGATGACTGGTCATGTCTCCACCCCCCTCCTGTAGTTTTCTGCAGGCAGCCTGTAGTGGGTGGAGCCTGCTGGGCCCCTCCCACCGCTCTGCTCTCTCTCCTTGTGCAGGATGACTGGTCATGTCTCCACCCCCCTCCTGTAGTTTTCTGCAGGCAGCCTGTAGTGGGTGGAGCCTGCTGGGCCCCTCCCACCGCTCTGCTCTCTCTCCTTGTGCAGGATGACTGGTCATGTCTCCACCCCCCTCCTGTAGTTTTCTGCAGGCAGCCTGTAGTGGGTGGAGCCTGCTGGGCCCCTCCCACCGCTCTGCTCTCTCTCTCCTTGTGCAGGATGACTGGTCATGTCTCCACCCCCCTCCTGTAGTTTTCTACAGGCAACCTGTAGTGGGTGGAGCCTGCTGGGCCCCTCCCACCGCTCTGCTCTCTCTCCTTGTGCAGGATGACTGGTCATGTCTCCACCCCCCTCCTGTAGTTTTCTGCAGGCAACCTGTAGTGGGTGGAGCCTGCTGGGCCCTTCCAACAAGTCTGCTCTCTGCACAGGCTATGTGCACCACATTGATGATGTCACTGCTACTTGTACAAGGTAATATCTGGGTTTACAAAGACATTTGATTCACACAAAGCAGATTTGTATCCTTTGTGACTAATTTATTTAAATGAAAGCTTTGATGCCTGGAGTTCAGCTTTAATATGATTCTAGTACACACATATGACGTTGTGTATATGGTACGAGCACCCAGACCAGGAAAAAATTGGAGAAAAAAAAAAGAAAAGATAATTACATACTGAGCAGAAAATAAGTTCCAGCGACATATTATGGCAAAATTTCAGGGGGACAATGATGGATTCATCCTCTAAGTTTCCATTAATAACTGTCCTGCTGAAGGAAACTGCGAAATGAAGAGATTTCCATAAGACAATATGGCTGACGCGCTCGACTGCATGAAAAGGGACAGCCGTCCTCAGGGGCATCCGCACAAACGCCACTGTTAATTCATGGCGGTAATGAAAAACGGCATGAGGCTACCGTGCGTGACAAAGACACATATTACAGCGGCGCCAAGGACAGGTGTGAGGTGTAAATCGCATATTGTGCGATTTGTAATGAGGACGCGGCTGCAGAGTATCATGCCCACAGTACAGCAGTCCTCATCGCTCTACTGAATTTATTCCTGAGATACTCTGCGTCATTCCCATAAACTCCATAACAAACTGAAAAAAAAAAAAAAAAGAAACTTTGAAACTTGACATAAAAATAAAAAAATCAGGCCTGAGCGGTTGCTGTCAAGTAAAGAAAAAATACAAAACGCCAGCTAGGGTAACTAAGAGCATGCAAATATATATTAAATTGTTCCTTTCCTTTACCCATTCAGGACAGAAAATGTAAACCCAATCATTAAAAACTAACATAGCAATGAAATTTCAAAAGGTCAATATTTCAAATCTGCAGCTTGCATTAAAATAATCTCTTTGTCTCTTTGTCCAGGCACTTCCTGTGACAGGGTGACAACTCTCTGTCCCTGTCGCCCAATTGCGCTCCTGTGTTGTCACCCTGTCACATGGACAAAGGGAAGGGGGTCACTTAAACTAACCCCTATTTCACTTGTATTTTCCTTTAAAAGACATTAAAGTGGTTGTAAAGGCTGAATGTTTTTACCTTCACACATCCTATGGATGAAGCTAAAAAACCTTTTATGTGCAGCAGCCCCCCCGTACTTATCTAAGCCCTCGTGAGCCCCCACGAGGGCCTCGGCTGTCCCAGGTCTCTCCTTCTCATTGGCTGAGACACCAGTTCGAGCCACTGGCTCCCACTACTGGCGATCACAGTCAGTGAGTCAATGAGGAGAGAGCAGGACGGCGGGACCGAGCCATGTCTGTGTGTGAATGGACACAGAGAGCAGCAGCTCGAGAGCAAGCCTGCTTGTGTGCCCCCATAGCAAGCTGTTTGCTGTGGGGGCACCAGGGGCGAACTGCCAACTCATGGGGCCCCGGGCAATAGGAAATTATGGGGCCCGTGTCCTCGCCCACACTCAAACCACACCCAAAAAAGCCTATGAAAGGTACCAGCGGCATCTCATGGGGCCCCCTACTGACCCCGGGCCCTCTGGCAGTGCCCAAGTGCCTAAATGGTCAGTCCGCCCGTGGGGGGCACTTGGCAGGAGGGAGGAGCCTATGAGCACCGACAGGAGAAACGAGAAGGATTGCGGCTGTTCTGTGCAAAACCATTGCAGAGAGCAGGTAGGTATAACGTTTGTTTTGCCTTTACAATCACTTTCATTCATTTTTTGCAGCTCAGCACTCACATAATTACTGGAACCCTGTGAACTGGGCAACCACACTGCAGCTGAAATCCATTCTGGCATGGTGGCAGCTGCTCTGTGATCTGTCCAATGGGAGGCAGAGGTTCTTAGGGGGTCCATTTATAAAACATTCCTGGCATGAATGTCAAAAGCTTCAGTGTGCGCTGCACAAAAAGTCCCAGAATTTCTGCAAGAGATTAATGCCTGTATCTTCAGCTCCATCTAGTGGCCAAAATGCTATAGATCTCTCACTGAGTTGTTTCAGAAAGTTATACAGCATTTTGGCCAGTAGATGGAGCTGAAGATACAGGCATTTCTCTCTTACAAAAATTACAGGACATTTTGTTCAGCGCCCACAAATGCTTCTGACATTCATGCAACTAATGTTTTATAAATTGACCCCTTGTGGCGTGTACTGGCTCACAGCATAGGTGTGAAATTAAATGTTGGTAATGCTCTCCTTTAAATAACACTCTAATCCGTCTTTTCAAATTGTAATATTTCCACCCTATTTACCCCCCCCCATCTAGGAAAGACTGGCCCGGAAACTTGGACCTGGATTTTAACGAGCCAGTTTGGCACAATAGCTGCCCCATGTATGGTGGCCGGACCCCGACCACCTCCCTCCCCCATGCTGCCATGTCTCAGCCTTCAACCATGGCACTGCTTGCGTTCATGTCTCACCAGGCGGTTGGCCAGGTTGATGGTCAAGGCGGTAGCATCTGCTTCCTGTTGACATTTTAGCTTGTCTGCGGTGGCTTTCTCGAATTTCGCTGTCAGTTTCGCCAGATTTTCATTCAGTTGCTGAAAAGAGAAATTCATAATTACAACTTAATATTTCACGGATCCAAAGGATGCCGAAGGCCCCAAAGAAGGAGATCCAGACCCAGTAAAAAATCTAAAGATCTGTAAATACTATACATTATGTTCAGGGCTAAAACAAAACATTCATTCTAGGTTATTTCTTCTCAGTTATGAAACAAAAAGCTTTAAATATGCAGGTTTCATATTTTCCATTTAATACCAACAGAGGGCAAGCTCCAAGTAGGAAAATCTGCTTACTTGAGGGTTTTACTACTACTAGATCTGAATAGCAGAGAGATCAGACTACAGAGATCGCAGGGTAAACAAAGAACACAACCTCTAATCCAGCAGAGATTAAAGAATATGTAAACCCAACATTTTATATTCCTGATATGTGCCTGCTGTACCATGTACTTGTATAAAAAAAAATCTCCTGTTCTCTTTGTATTGCTTCATTTGTATGCCCTCTGCTCTCCTATTACAAACTGACCACACTAAGCATGGGAGCACAGCGTGGTCAGTTTTCTGGGAACTCAGCCTGCTCTCCTCCAATGATCAGCCTTCTCCTGACAGTCTTTGTCCTGTTCAGGAGACTAGTGTACTGCTGTTTCTCCTCCCCCATTCTTTATGCAGCTGAGAACAGGGGGGAAAAAAAGGTGTTTGTAATTGTAATGCCATCTAGGTTAGCTAGATAGGCTGTTTTTTTGTTTTCTTTTTTTTCTTTTTTAGACAGAGGCTGAGTAGCAGCCTGGGATGAGTCAGCCTGTGAGGCAGCAGTTCACCTCACGCTAGGTGACTCTTAACAGGTCAGGACTGCTGGAGCCCTCCCACCCTTCCAGAAACTTTCTGGAAGAGGGGCGGAGGCTCAGATCTGCATGCAGGCAGAACCTTGGCCAATCCCCTGGCAGGAGGCTGGACATGGTGACCAAGGCATCCCTTAAAAGTGGCAGTGTCGGGTGGAAGATGAAGTGAGGAAGGCTAGAGAGTGGAGCCTGGGAGGGGGCTCCAGGAAGGGGGCTTACCTACAGGCAGCTTACTGGAGAAGAGGATCTCCACTGTGCCATTTTCTCCTGGGGAGGACATCCTGAGCAGCAGGGATGGAGCCAGCCCAGCGAAAGGTCTGAAGGCAGCTACCAACGCACCACACTGTCAGGATAGGACAGTATGAGTACTCCTACACCCACTGGGCCAGAAAAGAGAATTAGGGTAGTCAGGTACAAGACCCAACTAGCTTCCAATCTGTAACTGCTTATGCTAAATTGGCAGCTTCTAGGCCCCTTACCCAGGGAATACCCTCAGTGCAGCTGGGTGAAGAGGAGAAATCATCCGGAGCCTGAGATGGTACACTAGGAAGAACCGTTGGGGCTCTTCAAGGGAAGAGACTGTTGCTTTCACATTTTTGTACATAGTTGCCAAGAAGTTTGTCCTCAAGTTCTACAGTGCCTCGGGCATCCCATATACCCCTAGACCCCATCCAAGTTCTTAACACCTTAATAAGTGCAAAGTGTGAAAAATGTGTGCTGCCTGGCTGTGCAGAGCTTAAGGGGGACCCAAAACTCAGCAAATCCTAAGGGGGTAACTCCTAAGGGGGTAGTGCTACACAATATTTTTTTATATTGGTACACAAATGTTTTGCCTTTCATTTCTGTTTTAAGCTGAATGGGTTATTTTACAGGGCGAGGGTTCACATATACGTTAAAGCTACCTGGTTTATTCAGTTATACTCAGGTTGCCAACAAGCATGCAGGCAATGTTGCCTTTCCCCTCCGCCAGCCACATTGATCGGATACGATTCACAAGGCCTTGGCCAGAAAGTGAATTTTTATGTCGAAGGTCACTTACAGCAATTTTGGCCTTGATAGTGGCCAGCTTCTCTTCTGCTGCTGCCAGCTCTGCATTGGCCTTGTTTAAGGCTTGGCGTTTTGGCTCCACCTCACAGTAGACTTCATAGAACTTGACGATGTTGACGACCCAGGAGCACAGACCGGAGGCGGCCAAAGATTTGGATGAGACGAACTCTGGGTTGAACTCCGGGTCCTGCAGGTATGGCTGAATGGCTTTGATGCAGTTTTCATGAATGTTCTCTTTATTGAAGTTGATCAGAGAGTCCAGGAAGCTGTCGACTTTTCCCATGACCACCCTGGCCTGCTTCCAGCTCCTGTCCTTGGGGATCTTACCTCCTGGGGCTGTGAGGACCATCACGGCTGCTGTCACATTGGTGACAGCTGAGGGTGGGGATCCAAATGACTTCAATTCCGTCAGGTTGGTCTGAAAGGTCAAAATACGAGAAAGTTCTTATCTTGCCTTAGAAAATATGAGTGCAAGACAAAACAATCATTGTCAAATATTCCAGGAGTCAAAATAGGTGAAAAGATTATATTGACTGATTCAGCTGATCTTATCCTTTAATAAGCAAGACTCTCATAGTCAGACTGTAGGCTGTAATGAGCAGGACCCTCATACCTCCTGTTCTGTATACAATGCGAGCTGTAATAAGTAGGACCCTCATACCTTCTGTGCTATCAGGTGTAGGCTGTAATGAGCAGGACTTTCATACCTCCTGTCAGTATCGGGACAGGTCCATCCAGCGTCCAGGCCAAGGATGCAGAACTGGACCCCTCCCCCACTACTAATGCATGTTGTAGAATGGGTGCACCATCCTACATTTATTCTCTGCCCCCCTTGCTCTGTTGTGCCCAGGGCAGCTGCCCCTCCTGCCCACCCCTTGTCCTGGCCCTGCCTCCAGTTCCCTATAAGATGTAAGCCAAAATGATTAGGGTCCTCCTACCTCCTGTTCTCTATGGGATGCAAGCTGTAATGACTAGGACCCTCATATTTCCTGGTACCAATTAGATGTAAGCTGTAATGAACAGTATTCTCATACCTCGTTTCTCAGTAGATGTAAGCTATAACATGCAGGACCCTCATACTGACTGTTTTTCTTTAGATGTAACCTGTAACAGAGAGGACCCTCATACCTCCTGTTCCCTATCACAATGTATCATGTAAAGGACAGGACCCTCATACCTCCTGCTCCCTGTTTACTGTAAGATGTAATGATCAGGACCCTCATAGCTCCTCTTCCATTTTAGATGTAAGCTGTAATAAACGGGACCCTCATACATCCTGTTTCCTACTAACTGTAAGCTATAATGATCAGGACCCCCATTTCTCCTGTTAGACATACACCATAAAAAGCAGGACCCTCGTACCTTCTATTTCACAGCTCTGACAAATGGGCCCCTCACAGCCATGGTTTTTTTTTTATGTTTTTCTTGCTAACAATGCTTGCATGCCTACATTACACAATACTATAAAGTATTATAAAATATGAAGTGATGTATAAATAAAATGATACCAAAATGGTTTGTTATATGTGTAACACCCTTCTAGTTAGCTAGGGGGAGCAAGCTGATTATTTTTTTTTTTAGACAGAGAGGCTGAGTAGCAGCCTGGGGAATAGTCAGCGAGGTCAAATTTGGGTTAGGGCTGAGAGGCTCTACAGATCAGTTCCTGGACACCTTCCCCCAGCTCTAGAACTGTGGAGAAGATTCTAGAAGCAGTGGGTGGGGGTGAGGAGGGGCTGGTCCACATATTCAAGGGACTCTGCCCAATTCCCAAGCAGGAGGCTTGGCATGGGACCAGAGCAGCCCTTAAGTATGACTGAGCCTGCTCCGAAGCAGGTATAGTTCGGGTGGAAGATGGAGTGACAGGAAGAGATGCAGGAGCATGGGAGGAGGACCAGTGGGAAGGAGCCTACCTAAAGGCTAAGCCCTTGACAGGAGGATCGCTGAGCCTTACCTGTTCCTGCAGGAAGGTCTACCTGTGGAGCCAGGACAGGATCCAGCTCAGCAGAAGGCCTGAAGCCAGCCACCTACCTAAACTAGCTCACAGGAAAGAGACTGAATGAGTAATTCTACACCCCCTGGGCCAATTAAGGGGAAAAAAGCACTCTGGTGAGAAACCTGACTAGCTCCTTACCCAGGACTGTTCAACGTAAAGTGGCAGGCACTGGATCCCCTTGCCCAGAGATTTCCTCCATACAGCTGGGTAAATAAGGTGTTTTATCTGGGGCGGTACACCAGGAGAGGCTGAAGAGCTGTCCCAGATTATTTTTGCTGTGTAAAAACTTTTATATAGTTGTCAGGAAGTTGTATCCAGCTTAAAAGTTCCTTGGGCATCCCATGCATCCCTCAACCCCATCCAAGTTTATTACACCTAATAAAATCCCCCCCAAAAAAACAGTTCAATGACTGTTTCTGTACTGTCTCTGGAGCGCAAGTCTGAAAAATGTGTGTTGCCTGGCTGTACAGGACTCTAGGGGGACCCAAAACTTCAGTGACTCCTAAGGGGGTAGTGCTACATGAGTACATGACAAAGACAGTGCAGCCCTGGAGCAGCAGACAGAATTTCTTTGTCAGAAGTACCTTATTGAGGGTGTTCAGAGCTTCCTGTGCTGCTATTAAAGCTGGTTCTGCTTTAGCCAAATCTGTTTCACAGTCTTTTTGCTTCCTTCCGACTTCCTCTGCAATCACAGCAACCTTCTTCTCTTCCTCGTCCGCTATGGCTTTCTCCTTACCCACTTTCTCCGTCTCTATACCAACCACTTGGATCAGCTTATCTGCATCCTCGTTCTTCTGCTTTAGCTCCACCTCCTGTGCTGCCAGTTTGGCTTTCAGGTCATCCACCTATCCAGAAAGGTAAATAATACATTGTGATATGTAGGAAAGAGATACAAAATACATACAGTACATATATGTAGCCTTTAACTATTAGTAAAAACTATCAACATGTTTCATGTATGGACCATTTCTTAGGGTTTCAGTCCAAGGGACAACACCAAAGCTTTTGTGACTATGGTCTGTATACCAAGTAGCATCTTGGTCTTTGGGTCTAGAGGACATCATCAAACCATTCATGACTATGGTCTGCAGGCCCAATAGCACCTCAGTCTTTGGGTTCCAGGGACAACGCCAAAGCATTCATGATTGTGGTCTGTAGGCCCAAAAGCATCTTGGTTTTGGGGTTCAAGGGACAATGCCAAAGCATTCATGACTATGGTCTGTAGGTTAAATAGCATCTTGGTCTTTGGGTTCAAGGGACAACACCAAAGCATTCATGACTATAGTCTGTATGCCCAATAGCATCTTGGTTTTTGGGTTCAAGGGACAAAACCAAAGCACTCATGACTATGGTCTGTAGGCCCAATAGTATCTTGGTTTATGGGGTGAAGGGACGCAACCAAAGCATTCATGACTATGGCCTGTAAGTCCAATAGCATCTCAGTCATTGGGTCAAAGGGACAACATGAAATCATTCATAAATATAGTCTGTTAGTCCATTAACATCTTGGTCTATGGGTTCAATGGACAGCAGTCATGACTGTGGTGTGTAGGTCCAAAAGCATCTCGGTCTTTGGGTTCAAGGGTCAACACCAAAGAATTCATGACTATGGCCTGTTGGCCAAAAAACATCTTGGCCTTTGGGTTCAAGGGGCAACATCAAAGCCTTCATGATTGTGAACCTATTAACATTGAGCCTGCTTTCTCTGTATACATCAAATTACAAATTTTGGATTTAACTATCAGAACAATAATCATAGGACAATAAGATTGGGTAATGTTGGGTGGCGCTAATATTCAACTGCCCTTAGAGCACTATACAACAATCCCAATGCAGAAACTTACAAAAAGAAAAGTTGTTTTTGCAGGAAGAATTTCACAGCTAAACGTGTCTCTGCATATGCGTACGGCTTGAAGATTAAGGAGGAAAAGCCATATGGGATTAACCTTATGGTTCTGCAGCACTGTTATAACAATTACATTGACAGAATGTTGGCGGGTTCTGATCCTCCAGGGAAATTTGAGGTTTCACGATGTTCGCTAAACAATTTTTTTTTTCCAGCTACTTTATAGTTTCTAAACTCAATGAATTTGTTTTCAGTTTTCCTTAAATTATGCGTTAGATTGTACAAGTCCCAGGACGGAGGTCTGTTTCATGCAAATGCATCAAAATTAATCATCTTGAAACTGGCCCCTTGATTTGCTGGGACTTTCTGAAATTCAAATTCTTACTTCAACCCAAGGTTAGCAATTTGTTTCCTTTTATTTCAGATCTGCCTAGAAATAATGTATGTTATAATGTTAGCTTGCCTATAACGATTATGGTAATTAAAATTACAAAAATGATATGTGCTGTATGTGACAGAATCCATGTCTGAGCAGGCTGGGGTCATGCAGTACAGTCCAGCACAGCATAAAGGGGACCACTCATTCTTTGAAAGCAACTAAATGATGAATAGTCTTTTTCTCATCATATAAATATATAAGAACAAGATGTTCAAATTATATCTGAACAACAGGAAAAAATCTATAAATTTTACAAAAATGTATTTTGTTTCTTAAATTTTACAGACAGCCCAAATCTGTTTGCCTTTTTATATGGAATGAGCATGTAGGCAGGTGCAGTCTAATCTCCACTACAGCTGGTGCTCAACTGTAATGGCAAGGTTGGAATCTTCTATGGTTTCCTTGGTCAATGGAAGGTAGCACCCTATGTGACTTGTGCAGCCATCTTGGGTCAGCCAGAGTCTATTTAAAGACCTGGCTGGTGGACTTGGTGCGCTCTTGGCAAGTGGACAGGATAGAGACAGGAACCCCGTCTGTCAGGGACAGTGTTAATCAACAGGGAAATGTTCTGGTGGAGTAGGGAGAGAGCAGGGCCTATGTCTAGGAAGTCTCCTTTTAGGGCGGACTGGACAAGCTGCTATTCACTCCTCGTGACAGACATTGTTGGTATCTAGAACTCTTCTGTCCGCTGGTTATCTGCTTCTCAGTTGTAAGTGGCACAGGATGGGTGAGCTTCCCGCCGGGCTTGTTTGTGCTGTTGACTTGGCTGTTACAATACAATTTTTTTGCAAATCAGGACTCTGTGTGTTTACTGCCTGACACACCACACTGCACCTACCCAACATGCATGACTTGATTTCATAGGCCCATTCAAAAAGCTTGGCCCAATTTGGAAGATCTTGTCAAATCATCTCATAATGGTCATGCACACACTGATATTCCTAG